AGCAGGAAGTGACCTTGTTGTCCTGGGTCAGTGTGCCTACAGGACAGGTGTTTATATTATAAAAATGATTATCAGGCTCAGCTCAGGGATCAATGGGACTGTGGAAACTGAACCAACTCCTCTCCCCACCTCATGTTGGCCTGTTCAAAATCCAAAAGCAGGACTAGCTTGGGACACACTGAGTGAACTCAGGGCTCCAGTGCCTTGGCTTCCCACACTGGATCTTTTTCTGTAGTCCCAAATCACAAAAAGAATATATATTTTTAAGGTTCTTGCAAATGAGGCAAGGGCTTGTATATCTGAGCCCCATTCAGAACACACACACCCAGGAGCTGTGCTGCTACGGTTCAGGAAATGCGAGCCTAATTATTCCCTTTGTAACATTAAGGAACAACAAAAGCAACTTAGAAACTGTGACGTACTTGCAGTTTTTACATTTTAATCCAAATAACATTCCTTTCCCACAGACGGTACAGGTCTGAGACATCCAATACTTGGTGGAAAATCTGCAGAGGAAAAACATCAGATAAGTGTTAAGTACAAACAAGGTTGCTGTGCCCTCCACCAGGTGCAGGAAACTTTGCTATTTATAAGCCTCTCTCCACTCATCTCTCTAGCCCCGTTAACGCAGAAGAGCTATTTGAACTTGTCCACAAGATCAAGAGAACCAAAATTGCTTATTGAATCAAAGTTTATCCTTTTTAATCCTAAACTAGTTAAGTACCTTTAGTCCCAACCCCTTGGTGACTTAAATGGGAATTTTAGGTGTGCAAGTTCCATAGCACTGAGTTGATAGAATACAGTAAGCAAACTGTTGTAAGCCTTAACATAATATTACTTCCCTGTACTACAGAAGCACAACAGAGTAGGTTAGATGCTGTTCAGCCACATTGGGAGATACTGCCCCTGTCAAAAAAGATCTTACCATCTAAGAACGTGCATGTTTGTTGAGAAAGGAAAACTTATAGCAGCCCCAGCTTAGAGACTGGGCCTCGTCACCCAGCTGAGCTATGGCAGAAGTGGTATCTGAAAGAAGCCAACTGAAGTGAAAGAGCAAAGAGAAGGAACCGAGAAAACAGAAGGAATTTAACAATTACAGACTAGATCCCCTTCCACATTAACCTGCCCTTAGCCACAAACCTATCAACTGGTCACTCTGCATGTTTACTGTTACAGCCATTTTGGCCTAATTTTGCCCCATATCACTCCACTGAATCCTGACTGAAGCAAATTCATCCCTGGAGTGTCTCCAGTGAGGGTAATGGAGTTACAGAAGGGCTGACGTTTTACCGTTCTATGTAACCTTCAACTCGGGACCATACAACCTAAATAAAAACAACATTAAAAAGAGAAGGCTTTAGAGCAGCATCAGCCACCCAAAAACATAAACTATTGAAAACAAACTGCTGAGATTCTGGATTGAAGCAGTCGTCTGCTGTAGGATTCTGTACCTGAGGATCATGATTTAGTAGCATCTGCCTTTGGTAGGTCCAGAAAGGGCAGGTTATGCTCAGAGTAAGTAAAGTAAGGATAAACATGGGATCCCTCTTTCACCAGTGACTTCAGTTCACACCAACTGAGGGTGAGCCCAAGAAATTTCGCTGGCTAGCCCATGCCTGAAACTACACCCCTTGCCTAAGTGAAGTCCAAGTATCCGAAAGAGCAGAGATTTGTGGGCTTTGTGTGTGCTATATTCGGTGGCCACTACTGTACTGCAGAGTAAACATCCCATTGTCCATCTTGCCGGGACAAGTAAAGGAGAACACTTGCCCTCCAAGTTGAGTGGGAGAAGCTGAGAGTGAAATATTAGCTTTTAGGGACTGCTAAAAAGAGTAGTCTCACCTTCACTTGCTCTTAGTCAGAAACCTCTTCTGCTCGACTACAAGATGGCTGGAATAATACCCTGTTCCACAAAAGGGTAGTTTGATCATTGATACCCTGAATGAAACTATTTTAGCATAGAAAAAACCCAAAATATCAACTAGGCGCCAATGACCTAATCTGTAGCAACTGTTGAGCGCAGACTTCAGTAAGCTCCAGTTGCAATGAGGAAGGACTGGTACCATAGCTATGGCACCAGCCAGAGACTCAGCTGTTGGTCTCCCACTGTGAACTCAGAGTACTTAGTCCATCTCTTGAGGTCTCAGGTGGTCCCATCCTTTCACACTTCCATCTATTTTAAGTGTCAGTTCTTAAGGACTGGGACTACCTCTGACTGGATGCTTGCACAGTACAAGGGGACTCTGATTCTGGTTGGGGCATCTAGACATACAAATACAGTACCACACAGATTTTCCACACTTGGGTGGTTCACAACCCCCTTGATTTTTCAGTAGGTTGCCAACTGAAAGATAAGCCATATAGCTGTTTATTGGGGCTTTTACTTCAAAGAGCATTGCTTCTCCACTCAGCTGCAGTTCACCATCAGCCCCAGGCAGCTAGTAGCAGAATGAGTGTTCTTGGAAATAAAAGCCACAGCAAACAGTTGAAGCTCTTCAGGGATCCTGCACAGCTGTTTGCCACGGTTAGATGTACCCCCAGTTAATTCACAAAACTTCATCTTTCTATGGGTAGTCAGGAACTGAACCCTGCAAAGAATCTGGGTGCTTCTGTAATTCTTAACTATTTTGCGACTAGCATGAATAATACCCAATAAGAACCTCTGTTGAGGCTAGGAAAAGGGTTGCTCTCATTGCAAAGAGAAAGAGAGTAAGAGAAATTTCTAGCAAGAAAAAATTCCCATTCAACTTAAGCAACCTCCTTGCATCTAGATTAAAGCACTGATTTAGAGAGAGGCCCATTGCTCCTAGTGCCGGGCTCTGGCTACAGGCACACAAAGTTCCTTTCCTGTATCTCAAGTGCAGCCTGTCACCAGAACAGCTGCCAACTGGAAAGCGGCATGGAGGTCATTTCGATTTCTTTTTCTCATGGTAGATATGGAAGAGCAGAGTAGGACTCATATGGAATTTACTCAAGGTCAGTAGGTCACAGATAACGTACAGTTTTTTTTTATTGATAACAGCTCCAGCCTTATCTAAACCACATCTGAATTAAAATGGAATTGAGTATGCTTTGAGGACACTGTGCCCAGGTGTTAGAAATACAAGGAGAAGCCTCTGCCCCCCTCCTCCTGTTGGATCTATGCTGGAGAAAGAGAAATAACAAGGCTTATTGCTTGGCTGTCCCAGGTCATCCATGTTAACTCAGTCAATTTCAATAACCAAGGAAACAGCTAAGAAGAGTTCTCCCTCTGGTTTTAAGATGGGAGGTGGGGGGCGGGGGGAGATCAAGGTAACCCCATCTCTACTCCTGGTAACTGGGCTATGGGAGCTTAACACACACGAATTGATGTGGCTGGACAAGATACATCCTGAATGGACTCCTTTTCTCAACACCCTAACTATAAAGTCTGGGACTAGGCCATTCTGATCACCAGATGGTTTTCCTTACCAGTGTCCCAAAGAGCCTGGGGCCTTATCCCCAGGCACTGTGAATAAGAGAGGCTCCTTTCACTTCACTTGAGCAGGGGTGATATACAGGAACTTGAGGCATTACCTCCAGGAAAGGGAGGGGGGCTGAAGCTGAAGAGTTTTCACATTACTTCATCACCAATGCAGCACACCATGGGATATTGCCATGGCCACAACCAGCCAGGTACAGGACTCAGGAGACACTAACAAGGAAGTGTGCAGGGAGGAGTGACATCAGAAGAGATATGTACCAGGGGGCTCTGACCAGCCAATGTCAAGGTGACATGAACATGTCATGGCTTCGCAGAAGCCACACAGAACTCAGTAAGGCTGGGAAAGAAGGAAGGAAAAAGATCCAAGTTCTGACTGCCCACTCCCAGCATGAAGACCTCCACTTACTTAAGTAGGGAAGTGCAATACTGTCAGGAAACCCCAAACAACAGCAACAGCGGTGACTAACAATATGCTTTCCCTTTACTTTGAAACCAACAGGTGCAGACACTGTAGCTGACTCTAAGAAGCGGCTTGCCAGCATAAAAACCCTGTCACTCAGGCTTAGCACATTATCCTACACTAACTCTTGTGCTATGGTATTCTAAATGGTTTTGTCTCAAAGCTGGATTTTTATAGGAAAGGACTTTTCCTGAAGAAAATCTTCCTTCCCCTTCCATCATCTACTTTTCAGCTACAAACCTAGCTTAACTTTTGCTTTTCCAGAGCCCTTTGCAGTGCCAGCCTCTCTAGGGAGTTAGCTTTTCAACTTGAATTATAAGCAATGGGCTTTAGTTTGGGGCACTGCCCAGGACAGTGGGCTCTCAAGGGACCTTACATACAGAAGACGAACAACTGGCTACAATGCATCTAGCATACTGGATCTCAGCGCACAGGCTGCAGAGCAATCAGTCTCAAAAGGCACATTTTTCATAGTTTCATAGATGTTAGGGTCGGAAAGGACCTATTAGATCCTTGATTCCGACCCCCTGCCCTGGAAAGGAATGAGTACTGGGGACTTGGCCAAAACCAGACCAAAGTAAGTTGCTGGCTCAAGATGAAAGGCCATGCCCATTTCAGGGCCATGACTCTAATCCAGACAACAGGGAAACTGAGGGGTTGGGATGAAAGGATGCACTGTATTACAGAACAAATGGGTATTGCCTGCCATGACAAGGATCTAGCATTCTAGCGACTTACTGTTTTCTCCTCAGAGATACCATACCTGTGTTTTATTGAGTTTCCTAAGTCACGACGGGGAATCTGTGGGGACCAGCGAGGCACTGACAGTGTGTCTGCAGGGAGAAAAGACAGAAGAGGAAAAAGCCCAAGGATTAATAAAGAAGAAGGTCAGACTTCAATCTCTGAGCCAAGGAGCAGAGAAAGAGAAGGTCTCTGTTCCAGCAGGATTATAACCAGTCAGCAAATCAAAATGGAGGCTTAACCAAGCTGGTGCCTGAGGGATGTTTTCATCAAATCAAATAAGTCCAAGTCACATGGTAGATCTGGTAGAGGGACAGAGTGTGTGTGTGTGTGTGTGCGCGCGCGCGCACACCTGCACACACATACGTGTGTGCACACATGTGTGCATGTGTATGTGTACATGCAGGCATGGACAGGCTACCCAATAGCACAGTGTCATTGACATCAATTTTGTATGCCCATATAAATTACAGCAGGCTTGGAATGAATTGTGTATCTACCCTGAGATAGCAGCGTGCAGTAGGCAATTATTATTGCATCTTGCCACTAAGTGGCAGGAGAGCAGGTAAATACTCTAGGAGCAAATGACTTCTTGCTGGACGTAGGCAGAAGAAACTTAAACCAATGAAACTGACATCAGTGGAATCTGACCTGATTCTTTCAGGGAGTAATTCTACTCCGGATTTGGCAAAGCCACCCTGGTTTAAAGGTTTATGTCACCAGTCATTATTTCTTTGCACCAGTATGTTCATGCCCTATGAGAAAGAGATGCCCCACACTTCATGCTCTGAGAGATCAGCAGGACAACGTAACACTGGTCTCCATTCAAGATTCCTTATTTGGGAAAGCACTTAGGCATAATGAATTATCAGTCACCTGGAGCTAGAAGAAACTTCCCCCATTTCATTGCTAATTTCACAGGTCAGATGTACCCAGAGTTATCCAATCTCTATTAAATCAAGGCCTACTCCTGCAATTTATTTATTCAGGCACAACTTCATTTCCACAGTCCCAGAACACTGCAGAGTCAAGCACTTAATTCTACAAGGAAACAACGTCTCCTTTCCTCACAAAAAAGCAACAAAAGAAATAGGCTGTTGTATGCACAGAAGGAGCTTTAGAGATTTAGGGCTGAAAGCAACCTCCAGAGGTCATCCAGTACAACCCCCTGCCTGAAGCAGCATTATCCCATACAACCATAATCTAAACTCTACATCAGACTACCCTCAACCCTGACACAATATAGACCTAACACCCTAGCCTGCCACGGGTAAAGCATGGAAACCATGGCAGCCAATGTCCTGCTTTATAAAACGTTGCTCAGGAGGTCCGGGGTATAGGGCATGCCCCCCACTACATAGGAAAGCAAAACACCCTGTGGTCCATACCAGTCTGACCATGGGGTAAAATTCCTTCCTGACCCTAACTATGGTGATTGGTCTGACCCCGAGCAGAGGGGCAAGATCCTCTAGCCAGGAATTTCCAGCTCTGGTCCCAGCAAGAGAATCAGCACACCCCAAGTGAAGTCCTCAGTCCTGGCTGTAGCCAACACTCGATGCCTCTGGGAAGGATTAAAAACACCCTATAGCAGAAAAGGGGGATGAGGGGGCTTGGGCAGGAGCAACCAGCAAAGCCCAGAATCTTGGGAAATAGCCATGGTATAACATAAGCATAGCTACACATAGATCATCCCTGACCAGGGCCTGTCCAACCTCTTTTTGAACACCTCCAGTGATACAGAGCTCACAACTTCCCTAGGCAGTCTATTTTACCACTTCATTATTCTCACTGTACAGTTTTTATGGCTATCCAATCTAAATGTGCTTTTTGCAACTTCAGACCACTGGGCTGTGTCCTCCTCTCTACAGCAAGAGAGAAAAGGAGCTTTCCCTCTTCTTTATGGCAGCCCTTTAAGTCTTTGAAAACTGCTATTATGTCCCCTTTTAGGCACCTTTTCCACAAGCTGAACGTGCCTAGCTCCTTCAGCCTCTCCTCATAGGACTTGCTTTCCAAGCCCTTGATTATCTTTGTTGCCCAAACTCTGGACCATCTCTAACTTCTCTATGTCCTTTTTTAAAACGGGGAGCCCAGAACTGCATAAAGTTGTTCAGATGAAGTCAAAACACTGCCTAGTAGAGAGGCACTAGCACGTCCTGTGTCTTGCACCAAAAGTTTCTACTGATGAGCCCAAAACCATATTTGCCTGTTGTGCAGCTCTATCACACTGCAGACTCATATTGAGTCTGTGGCCTACCAAGACTCTCAAGTTCTTTTTCATAGTGCTGCCATCCAGCCAGATATCCCTCCTTTTGTGTTTGTGTTTTTGATTATTCCTCCTGAGTTGCAGCACCTTGCATCTGTCCTCATTGAACTTCATCCTGTTAGCTCTACTTCAGCTTTTCAATGTGTTGAGATCCTTCTGAATTGCGCTCACATCTTTCAACACATTCACAATTAGAGGTGCACCAATACATCAGTGCCATATCGTATTGGCACCAATAAGAGGAAAATTGTAATTATTGGCAATCTGCTTTTTTTGGTTGATGTGGCCAATAATGTTGCTGATAAATATCACATGCATGATATTTGCATGCATGATACCACCCGGGCCCTGCTCGCCACTGTGCAGCGCACAGGTGGCCAGGAGCGCCACCTGGCAGCGTGGCAAGCAGGGCCCGGGTGGTAAGTCTGTTGTGGGGGAAGGGGTATAGAGGAAGGAAGGGGTGTGGTGGGGCAGACCAAGGGCCCCATGGCAAGGGAGGGAGTGGGGCAGGTGCCAGGGCTGGGGCAGGGGCAATGGCAGACACTGTCCAGCTGGGGCAGAGTGCGGGACGGAGCCGCAGCTCATCTGAGGGACGCCGGGGTGGGGCGGCTCCTGCCACTGCACACACCTGAGGATGTCATGGGGAGCACGTGCAGGCTGCTGCTGCGGGCTGGTGCCAGGGGCAGTGCTAGATTTTTCCTGGCAGGGGGCCGGGCTGGGGCTGCGCTCAGGGAGAGCAACAGCAGTGCTGGAAGGAGGGCTGTGGTGGGGGGCTACAGCCACCACAAAATTTGCCATAGCCCCCACAAACTCCTCCCAGCACCGCCGCCGCCCTCCCTGAGTGCAGCCTGGTCCAGCCCCCCACACTGGGAAGAGCCCAGCGCCACCCCCAACCCCAGCAGCTGCCTGCCCTTGCCCCACACACAGATCTGAGGGCACATGCCTCCCATGTCCTCCCGGGGTGCATGCAGCAGTGGGAGCCACCCCCCTCGCCACAAACCCTGGATGAACCACAGCTCTGTCCCCTGCCCCTGCCTCGCCCCGCCCCGGCTGTGCAGCACCTGCCCCTGCCCCAGCTCCAATGCCAGCCCCATTCCCTCCCTCACAGAAGGGGCCTCGATCTGCCCCCCACTCTCCTTCCCTCACAACAAACTTACCAGCCAGATGATGCTCTCCATGTTGCCAGGCTGCACATCAGCAATCGGATTGGTATTGGCTGATAGGGCTCATTTAAAATCAGCCATCCGTATCAGCCCCCAAAATCTCTTTTGGAGCACCCCTATTCACAATCCTTTCCAGTTTCGTGTCATCTGCAAATTTGCTCAAGAAGTTTTCTATGCCAGCGTCCAAATTGTTAACGAACACATTGAACAGCACCAGGCCCAGGACAGACCCCTGTGGGACCTTATTTACTTTGACCTACATACCTTATTATTGTGTGTGCAGGTGTGTGCCTGCATTCATTACTCTTCTATAATACACTAGAACCAGCACACACAGACTGTGGCTAGCAGGGAATGCACATCTTAGATATAGTTAATGGTTTCCAAATAAGGAAGAGAAAATGAAGCTTAAATGGCAACTGCATAATTTATTAATAAGACATCACACATCCTCTGGCTGTATATCTTAACAAAGAGCCAAGTGTCAGCCTCTTAGCAGCAAAGGTAGCTACTGTTTAAGGAGAATATTAAACATAAAAAGAGCTTCTCTTGTAGTCCCCTTCTGAGAGAAAAAGGAAGGGAAAAGGTAATAAGCCCCAAGCCTGATGGAACAAATCAAAGTTAGCCAGTGCCCTGCTCTTCCCTGAGTGATGTAGCCAGGATAGATGAGCCATTGCCAAGCAAATCATCACACTCACTGGCAGCATATCATGCACTGATAGTGACTGCCAGATACACTAAATACACATCTGGGACTGATTTATTATCCATGCAGTCAATGGAAAGCCTTCCATGGCATCAATGCATAACAGAGGACTTCAGCATTTGTCCATTCCTGCATCCAGCCTAATTAACTAAGTTGATGTAATGCCTGTATTTTAGAAAGACCCCCAATCCTAGGTACAGATTTAAATCTTCTTTTGGCTGCCCAGTCTTTGAAAAGAAGTCTGTGTATTGCTCATGCTACTCTAGTGAGGACTACTCTAGTGGCCCATTTCCAGAGACAGGCCTTGAATGATGTGCAGTTTTCTGAGCCCCCACATGCACAAAATGGTAATCCGTAATGATTCTCTCCAAGGCCAAAAAAGCTATCCATCACAGACATAAGCCCAAACCACTCGACTGATCGTTGAGGGCAGTAAGGCAGACCCTAGCTCTGCTCCCACTGGGTTTTTTTCTGTATGTCAACCAATCCCTTACTAAATATACTTTCAGTATTATTCATATAGGCAGTGAGGACCTTTGTTTGCTTTCCTAGTCAATTTAATATATCAGGCTGAAATGTATTTTAATTATGTGCTGTTTCTGAAGGTTACATTTACATGCCACTTCCTGTACAATGGTTATTTTCCATACACTTCCCTGGAGTGGGTTGAAATATCTGTTACCAATAATATTTCTTAAGAAATGGGAGCATGGTCAGATGTATAGATATTAAATATGCCTTAAATATATATTGATAGTAAGCTACTCTAGCTCCTTCTTAGCCCCTTCTAATCCAAAAGGTATCATTTTTTTCTCTCTCTATGGCAACCAAGTTTACAACTTGGCAACCATGACGCATATTCCAAAACTTTAGCTTTTCCCCCAACCTAAAGACAATGAAAATCAATATGCACATCTCGACATTTGGGATGTCTCTGGTGGAGCATCAGCTACACAATCT